AAGGAATTTTTCCTACGCATCCCTCAATATACTGATACTGATACTGATCTATATGGCAAATCCGTGTCTTTGAAGATGGATCTCGTCCGGACGCTTCAAAAGATTCCCATTGCTCCCCATTGTGTTTTAAAATACGGCCGTTACCACGCCCTTTGGCCTCTTTGACCTCCTGAGCATGTGGGTTGGACTCTGGAACGTCTCATAAACCTTCCAGAGGCTCGTTGATAGGGTACTCCATGACCTACGTTTCGCCTATGCATATATTGACTACTTCTTGATGGCCGGCTTTACCGCCGAGGAGCACATGGAACATCTCACAACGATTGTTGAAAACCTTTACCCTCAACGCGTTTATGTGTGTCTTCCTTGTGTCTTCCTTCGGGTTTATTGGGCACCGGGTCGACAACAGAGGCATCCATCCTCTGCTTGCCAAAGTTGCGGCCATCCGCAACTTCCCAGCTCCCTCTTTCAAGCGTCAACGTCAGCGTCTCCTACGCATAGTGAACTTCTACCGCCAGTACCTTTCGAACTGCGGTGACACCATCCTGCCACTCACTAATCTCCTTTCTACGTCCAAACTTTTGTTTGGCTCCCCTGCTACTTTTTATAAGGTGAAGGTTGCCCTGACCGAGGCCACCTTCCTGACGCACTATCCCATTGATCCTTCCATCTCCCTCGTGGCTTAAGTCTCGAGTGGCACAGTTGGCGCGGTTCTTTAATGGCACGTTTCAGGTATATCCCAACCCTTATCTTTATCTTCCAGAAAGCTAACGCCTGCCTAACGCGTTACAGCACATATAGACGGGAGCTTCTGACTGTATACCTTGTCGTGAAACACTTCCAGTACTTCCTCGAGGGCAGAGACTTCTTTGTGTTCTCAGACCGCAAACCCCTTTCCTACGCCTTGAACACTAACTCTGACAAGTTGAACCACCGGGAGCTTCGAAAACTGAACTATATTGCTCAGTTCACCTCAAGCATCCTCCACATCGACGGGTCATGCAATGAGGTGGCTGAAGCCCTGTCCAGACCCTCAATGGCCTACATGCAAGTAAGTCCCGGA